GCTGCAGCAGCAGCAGCAGCAGCAGCAGCAGCAGGTTTGCTGCTGGGTTTGTTATACCACTCCAGTATTGTTACTGCTCCTGTCTGCTGCTGCTGCAGCAGCTGCAGCAGCCGGCTGCCTGGTGGCTGCAGCGGCAGCTGCTGAAAGAAGCCCCACCGAGCGAGAGCAGCAGCAAGCTTTGCTGCTGCTGCTGCTGCTGCTGCTGCTGCAGCAGCAGCAACACCAGACAACCAGCCGCTCCCTGCTGCTGCTGCTCCTGCTGCTACAAAACAACGACCATCGTAAGGCCCTAAGGGGACATACAGCTGCTCTTGCTGCTGCTGCTGCTGCTGCTGCTGCTGCTGCTGCTGCTGCGCATGCAGCAGCCGCAGCCGCAGGAATGCATGCTGCAGCAAATAGTGAGGAGCATAGAAAGGAGGGCGATAGCTGCGACGCGAAAACTCACAGCTGCAGCAGCAGCAGCAGCAGCAGCAACAGCAGCAGAAGCAGCAGCAGCAGCGGCAGAAGCAACAGCGGCAGCAGAAGCAGCAGCAGCAGCAGCAACAGCAGCAGCAGCAGAAGCAGCAGCAGAAGCAGCGGCAGAAGCAACAGTAATGAAAGAAGCAGCAGAATAAGCAGCAGTATGCAGCAGCTGTCAGCAGCAGCAGCAGCAGCAGCAGCAGCAGATCGCCTAGGAGCAGCAGCAACATAAACTAAGACAGCAGCAACAGCAGCAGCATCTACCCCAGCAGCAGCAACAGCAACAGCAGCAGCACCACAGCAACATCAACAGCAGCAGCAGCAGCAACAGCAGCAGCACCACCCCCACCAACAGCAGCAGCAACAGTAGCAACAGCAGCAGCAGCACCACCACCAGACACAGCACCACCACCATCAACAGCAGCAGCAGCAGCAGCAACAGCAGCAGCAGTACCACCACCACTCCCACCAACAGCAGCAGCAACAGCAGCAACAGCAGCAGCACCACCACCACCAGCCACAGCACCACCACCATCAACAGCAGCAGCAGCACCACCATCAACAGCAGCAGCAGCACCACCATCAACAGCAGCAGCAGCAGCAGCAGCAGCAGCAGCAGCAGCAGCAGCAGCAGCACACCGTTTGAGTATATATTTCATTAGGGGCCCTGA